GACTGTTAAAACCATTAGGTAAAATGTTGATGGGGAACTTTTTTAATCGATGGATTATGCTGAGAATATCTGAACTTGCTAATAATCTTAAAATCATGAAAACTGGGATATACAGACATTATGTGCCTCCTCTTGTATTGCAATAGGAAGTATACAGCCCCGTCTGTGAATTATTCTTGGCAGAAAAATTGAACCTAAATCTAATCAAGAATCTAGATCTAACTACTAGTTTACAGGAAATGTAGGAAATAAGAGGAGCAAGTTAAATGACAACACAAAGACGCGACCACCAAATCTAGAATGTGAAACATTCTAAACGACACATGGGACAATTTCTTCAACAAATAAATGATTTAAAAAAAAGGGTGGGGAATGGCGTGGATGTGGAAAATTGAAATGCTTGTGCACTGTTGGTGGGAAGGTAAACATGGTGCAGCCACCATGGAAAACAGTATGGTAGTCCCTCACTTAATTAAAAAGAGGATTACCATATGATCTAGCAATTCCACATTTGGGTATATACCCAAAAGAATTGAAAGCAAGATCTTGAAGAGATATTTGCACATCCTTGTTCACAGCAGCATTAATCACAAGAGCCAAAAGTTGGAAGCAACCCAAGTGCCCAATGACATATGAATGGATAAACAAAATGTGGTATATCAATACAATGGAATATTAGTCTTAAAAGGAATGAAATTGTGACACATGTTATAATGTGGGTAAATTTTGAGGACATCATGTTAAGTGAAGTAAGCTACTTATATGAGGTACCCAGAGTAGTCAAATTCATAGAGACAGAAAGTAGAAGGGTGGTTGTCAGGTTCTGGGGAAAGGGACGAATTGGGAACGGTTGTTTAACGGGTATAGAGTTTCAGGTTTGCAAGATAAAAAGAGTTCTGGAGATTGGTTGCACAACAATGTGAATGCACTTAACATGACTGAACTGCATACTTAAAAATGGTTAAGATGATAAATTTTGTGTTATGCATATTTTACCACAGTTTTCAAAAAGGTGAAGGGTTAAAAGATTAAAAAGGATTACGAGGATTAAAAGAGAATGAAGGGACATATTGACCAGAAGCTACATGTGGAGCATGTCTGGATCCTGACTTGAGCAAAAAAAGTGTTAGAGAGAGAGAGAGGTGCATTGTGTAGAAAGCTATAGCTCAGCTCAGCCTCTGGGGAGGCAGTGTTGACTTTGTCATTGACACATACAGGCTTCTGTCTTGCCTCTGTCAGTTAGCAACCATGTAGCCTTGAGCAAATTACTTGTTTTCTGATTGTTTTTTTTTTTCGTTTCCATAAACATTTGCTGAATCTCTGCGATGAGCCTAAAATTTACTGTGTATTAACGAGTGACTATGCTCAACAATGGGGACATGAAAATAAGTAATATATGGTCTCTGCTGATGCGGGAGAATAAAATGTGAGGCAAGAAATAGCAGGGATAAGTCTGGAAATGTAGGCAAAAAGTAGATTATGGAAGGCCTTGTATCCCATGTAAAGATGATGGGACTTTATCATAAAGAGCCTTTTTTTTTTTTTTTTAAAGATTGGCGCCTGAGCTAACAACTGTTGCCAATCTTCTTTTTTTTTTTTTTCTGCTTTATCTTCCCCAACCCGCCCCCCACCGTACATAGCTGTATATCTCAGTTGCAGGTCATTCTAGCTGTGGGATGTGGGATGCCGCCTCAACGTGGCCTCATGAGCAGTGCCATGTTCGCGTCCAGGATCTGAACCCTGGGCTGCCTGCAGCGGACGGAGCATGCGAACTTAACCACTCCGCCACGGAGCCAGCCCATAAAGAGCCATTTTATCTTTATCATAAAGAGCTATGAAGTTCTTTTAAAAATTTGTCTTTCATGTTTATAAAATTAATGTATTTATAAATTAAAAAAATTTAAATACAATCCCAATAAACAAATATCAATGGAACTTTCTTCCAGAAATTGTCAAACTAATTCAAAAGTTCTAGAAGAGAAATGCTGAGAATAGTCAAAAAAAGTTAGAACAATGAGGACTGGCTTGCCCTATCAGCAAAATATCCCAGAAAACTATGGTAATTAAAGCAGTATGGTATTGGTACAGGAATAAATAAATTGATCGATGCAAAAGAGTAGAGGCCCCCTCAACTAAACTCATGAGTATATAGGAGTATGTCCTATTTCATTGATTCTAAGACATATTTTTCTCACATTTCACTTCAAGTTATATGAGCTGAAATATATTTTCTTATTAAAGATAATCTGACTTTGAGTTTCCATTACTTGTAATATGAAGTGCTCTAATGATAAACTTTTCAACATAGTCTTCTTTCCTTTTTTTCTTAAGTAATCTAGAGTTGGTTTCTGTTCCTTGGGACCAAGATCCTAATTGTTTCAACTATGAAAATGACCTTTGGGGCCCACCTGGTGGCACAGTGGTTAAGTGCGCACGTTCTGCTTCGGCAGCCCTGGGTTCGCCAGTCCAGATCCCGGGTGCAGTCATGGCACTGTTCCGCAAGCCATGCTGTGGTAGGCGTCCCACATATAAAGTAGAGGAAGATGGGTACAGATGTGAGCTCAGGGCCAGTCTTCCTCAGCAAAAAGAGGAGGATTGGCAGCAGATGTTAGCTCAGGGCTAATCTTCCTCAAAAAAAAGAGAAAAGAAAAGGACCTTTAATCCAGTGTTGATGGTGGTTATCATTTTGGTGAATTTTGTTGAATGTTTTTACTATCTTGTGTTTTTCTATGTGAGAGAATTGAGAAAATTATCATCATTCTAGCTACCTAATAATTTTTGAATACTTACTGTTCTTTGTGCTTTACAATTATTTCCTTCTTCAAACCTCACAACGATTTCTATGCCAATTCTTCAGGTGAGAAAAATAGATACTATTTTATATCCTTAATTTGTAAGCATTTTCCTATACAAATTTTTGTAAACATGAATTTCAATGAGTACATAATATTCTCTTTTATAAATGTAACAGGTTAATTTATCAGTCCCTTTCATTGAACATATATGTAACTTCCAGGTTTTTGCTATTACAAATAATACCATAATGAACTTCCTTGAACATGATTCTTTATCCATATCCGTATCTTCTTAGGAGAGATGACAAGAGTTGGGATTATGCACAAAATTTTCTGTCTCACTGAATGCTTGCTGGTATTACTTCATGAAAAGTTGTTGCCAACTTGGTAGGTGAAAATGGTTTATTTTAATTTGAATTGCTTGGTTTATTAGTGAAATAAAACATCACTGATGTGCAAGCCAGACTTCAGCTTTCTTCTAATCTTCTGCCTTCTAGGTCCACATGGTCGATCTCTGGTTTTGTCCAGCACCAGATTGGACTTGGGGATGGGCATATCTTTAAGTTTCTACAAACAATCCTCTGTCACAGATGCTTCAGTTAGCAATGTAGACTTTACTGAAGATTTTGCAGGGGAGAGAGAGGAAGGCGTACACACTGCACACCTCCCTACATACATCCTAAAGATCCCCATTACCCAATTCCCTTTTACCTGGAATTCTCATCATATACCCACTCCCTCCTCTCTGATACAGCGTCTTCCCGACACCTTTCCCTTCCTCCATCTTCCTCATTCCTTTTCAAGAGCAGTTAAATAATTCTTCTCTTGGTCTCGTATGAGCAACAATAGCCTCTTCTCTGAAGCCTAGGTACCAACAAAATCAAACCTAGGAGGCTTAGCTTCCACCTGGGTGTTGGCAAGCAATGCATCCTCTCAGCAAAACTGTCTCCCCTATGTGGATTTCTCATTCCAGCTGCTAAGAAGTAATATTCTCCATGATGTTACAGAAACGTTATAGGCAAAGGACAGATTTGTGGTCAGACTTGTGTCCTAGATAGATCATCACAGTAGGTGTGGAGGATGGATTTGTCAGAGCAAGATTGGAGACAAAGGAAAAATCACAGGTTCTTGCCCTGCCAAATGGTGGGAGTGCAGGCTGCTCCTCTCAGCACCCTCTCTGTGCTGTCATTCAATTGCTTTGCTTCAGTCTACAGAAACACAGAAGGAGATCATTCAGCCTCTTGCCCAATCACAAGGCTGGTTTCCCCTTGGTGCTGCTCTCCCAGGCTCTCCAGGTCACTCTTAGAGCCTCGTTTGACTGAGGAGGGAAGCCTCTTACTTGTGAACCCTCTATCCCCGAGTCCGCAAGGCCCAAGACCTCATCTCTCCCTTAGCACCCCTAAGTTCCTTTTATAAACACGTTAAAAGGATACAGGGCTGGAGTTGGAATGGCATTAGCTCTGTTCTGCTGTAAATCCTGGGGGCCAGTGGGAGGGGGCAACAATGACTTGTGTGCTCCTCACAAGTGGGGAACTTAAGTGACCCCTTCTCTTCACCTTTGGATTCAGGACAGCAATTTGGGTGAAACAGGAAATGTCCCATTCCAATCCTGTTATGCATTTGCTGACCTCCTTTGCAAACGTGTGGCCTCCTGAGACCTGCTGCAGAGACTTCCCCGGAATTCTCACACCCAAATTGTTACTGTTATTCATTGAGGTTTCGTCAGCAGGCCAGCCTGACCTACCAATTTACCATCACGCCAGGCAAATTTTTTTTGAGTTCTAAAAATGCAACATAATTAACAAATTCATATCTTTGGGGATTTTTAAAATTAAAAATATTCAATTTAATAACTAAGCAGTTATTAAATTCATCTTCACTCCTAAGTTTCATAAGAGAAGAAACACTTCTTGAAGATGCTTAGATTGTGCTACCCACATGTCCATCAACTGATGAATGGATAAATAAAATGTGGTATGTCCATACAATGTAATATTATTCAGTCATAAAAAAGAATAAATTGTACTGATACATGCTACCGCAGACAGTTACTTTGGCTCGGCACTCTCATAGGGTTCCCTGGGCGTTGGTTTTGTAACGACGCTTAGGGGAGGAGCCCCCGGCGGCGGGCGCCCGGCTCCTCGGCGACGGGGCGGGGCGGGGCGGGGCGTGCCCGGGGGCGGGGCCGGGCCAGCACGTCCAGCCGGGAGGGGGCGCGTCGGTGGCGGGCTTCGCGCGTTGCCGGGAGATCCCGAGACAACAAAAGGCGCGGGCGGCGGCGGCGGCGGCGGCGCGGCTAAGGGAAGCCGAGGAGTCCTGCGCTGCGTTCGCCGCCGGAGGCCGGGGCTTTCTCGAGCCAGTCAGTGAATGGCGGGCGCGTCGGGAGCGGGGCGACACCCACTTGTCCTCCCGCCGGCTGCGACCGTGACCCCGGCCAGCCGTTGGGAGGGGGGCCGTCGGCCGGGGAGTCAGGGTCTCCGCGGTGTGGGTTTGGGGGCGCTTGGGGCGCCGGCCAGGCCGAGGGGGGTGTCTGAGGGGGCCTGGGGTGGGTGCTGGGACCCCCGCCGAGTGGCCGGCGGAGCTCGGGTCTCCCTTGAGGTGGAAGGGCCGGAGGAACAGGAGGCGTGGGACCGCTGGGCTGCATCCCGCTGCCTCGGGTCCTGTGTCCTCCTCGGGTTCCCGCTTCCGGCTGCGGGTTTGAAGGGGGCTGGGAGGGCCGACCCGCGGCGGGGGTTTCGTTTTGTGGCCAGCCTCCTTTTCCCTGGCGGATGTTGAAACTTTGGTACTTTCTAAGCGCTGTGGGAGTCCGAAAGCCGCTCCCTCAGAGGCAGGTGATAATTGAGAAAGAAAGGGTGCCCAGATTATTTTTGAAACACCTTTTAAATAGCACTTCGTCCCCTCCAACTTTTTAAATATTTGTTTACGTCCTATCTTTACTCTCTACTTCCTATCTTCCCTGTCTACTTTATGCATTTAGGGCCTTTTCTGAGCTCCCTACACGATCCACTATTCATTTGCTGGGAAATTTCTTAGGAAAATATTAACAAACCACAATTTTTAGACAAGCAGTACTTCTGAAAAACGAGGGACACAGGATGGCAACGGTATTTGGAGACGCTTGTTTCTGATCAATGACATGGCATCAAGTGATCAAGTATTTCTCTTGTCTTTGCTCAGGTTTCAAAACTCCATTGAGTATACCTCAATATTACCAGCCAATCAGATTTCACTTTTCTTTACATTTATTGGTGACATGATACATAGGCTTCTGTTGACTGTAATTGATCCGAAATCTGAAGAAGTTTAAGTGTTATGGATTTTTCTTAAAACTTAAGTTCTTGTATTAATGTTTTGCAAGCCATATGTTTATGGTCCCTTATCATTCTTCAATGATTAGAATAGGTGATTTCGATTGCCTTTATAGTCAGATTGTTTATAGATATTCCTAGTCTAGAAACCAAGAAAGTGAAAATATCCCAATTACACTTGGCACTTTTTATTAGCGGTTTCATTGAAAGTAGTTAGATTTAACATAAAACATGACTTTTGTTTTAATGTGGTGGCATAAGAAAAGAAAATAAACCAGTTTTTATTGATAAAAACTTCATATGTAGGTGTTCAGAGACATTTGGAAGAACCAACTCTTAACAGCATCTCTGTAGTTTCTTTGGAAAAGTTTCCAGTACCAAATGATTGTAGAGTCCTTTAGGATCCAAGAAAAGATATATCATACTTAAGAGTATTTATTTTTTCAGTGCAGAATTTCCTACAGTGATTGAACTGCCAAGGTTAGGTGCATCTCTTTGTTTTGGCCCCTAAAGATAGTTTGTTGACTCAGTTTTGGGATTTTACAGCCCAAGGGAGCTGATATATTTTTACTCTCAGTGAGCTCTCTGTAGAGTGATGTAAATTTTTTTTGTTACTGTGATCCTTTTCAGACTCCACTCACAAAATTATAAATGCATAGTGCTGCTGTAGGGATTTTTAAAGGCTAGTGAATATTAAATGTCTTCATTAACATTTCCATAGCAAGTAGTGCTGAAAATATTATTTTAGTCCATTGGTCTATAGGTTACTTAATGATGGTGTTCAAGACTAGTCTTCTCCAAAGAGCCCAGCCCCACCCCAAACTGGTTATTTTTCATCATCTGCACTTAAACGTTATCATAAGTTACTTGTTACATTTGTTTTTAGCTTTTATATGGTGTAAGCTTTATCCTACCAAGACTGTGAACATGCATGTACAAATTTTTATGTCAACATACGTTTTCATTTCTCTTGGGTATATACCTAAGAGTGGAGTTGCTAAGTCAAATGATAACTGTGTTTAATTTCTTGAGAAACTGCCAGACTATTTTCCAAAGCAGCTACATCATTTTACATGCCCATCAAGAGTATATGAAGGTTCTGTATTCTCTACAATCTTGCTTACACTTATTATGATCTGTCTTTTTGATTATAGCTATGTTAGTGGGAGTGAGGTGGTATCTTATTGTGGTTTATTTTTTTCTTTTTCGAAGGAAGATTAGCCCTGAGCTAACGTCTGCCACCAGTTCTCCTCTTTTTGCTGAGGAAGACTGGCCCTGAGCTAACATCCGTGCCCACCTTTCTCTACTTTATATGTGGGACGCCTGCCACAGCATGGCTTGACACGCGGTGCCATGTCGGCACCTGGGATCCAAACCAGTGAACCCCAGGCTGCGGAATGTGTGAACTTAACTGCTGCACCACCGGGCTGACCCCTCTATTGTTCCTTTTATTGCTTATTGCTTTTGCTTTGGGTGTCATATCTGAGAAATCATTGCCAAATTCAAGGTTACAAAGAGTTTTACCCCAGTGTTTTTCTTTTAAGGGTTTTATAGTTTAAGCTCATACATTTAGGTCTATGAACGATCTTGAATAGACTTTTGTATATGATGTGAGGTAGGAGTTAAGGTTTGTTCTTTTTCTTTTTTTTAAAGATTTTATTTTTCCTTTTTCTCCCCAAAGCCCCCAGTACATAGTTGTGTATTTTTAGTTGTGGGTCCTTCCAGTTGTGGCATGTGGGATGCCGCCTAAGCATGGCCTAATGAGTGGTGCCATGTACGCGCCCAGGATTCGAACCGGTGAAACCCTGGGCCACCGAAGTGGAGCACTTGAAGTTAACCACTCTGCCATGGGGCCGGCCCCTAAGGTTCATTCTTACGCATGCAGATATCCAGTTGTCCCTTGACCGTTTGTTGAAAAGACTGTTCTTTCCCCCATTGAATTGTCTTGGCCCTCTTGTTGAAATCAATTGCCCATAAATGTGAAGGTTTATTTTTGGATTCTCAGTGCATTTCCATTGATCTTTGTGTCTGTCTTATGCCAGTACCACACTGTCTTGGTTACTGTGGCTTGGTTTTAAAATTGGGGAAATGTGTCTTCCAACTTTGTTTTTCTTCCAATATTGTTTTGGCTATTTTGTGTCCCTTGAATTTCCATTTGAATTTTAGGATTAGCTTATCAGTTTCTGCAAAGAAATAAGCTAGGCTTTTGATAGGTGTTGCATTGAATCTGTGGATCAATTTGGGGAATATTGGCATCTTAACAATGTTGTCTTCCAATCTATGAACATGAGCTGTTTCTCCATTTATTTAGATGATCTTTACTTTCTTTCAACAACATTTTGTGGTTTTCAGAGTATAAGTTTTACACATTTTTTTTTTTTAAAGATTGGCACCTGAGCTAACAATTCTTGCCAATCTTCTTTTTTTTTCCCCTGCTTTTTTTTTCTCCCCAAATCCCCCCAGTACATAGTTGTATATTTTTTTAGTTGTGGGTCCTTCTAGTTGTGGCATGTGGGATGCCGCCTCAACATGGCCTATGAGCAGTGCCACGTCTCCGCCCAGGATCCGAACCCTGGGCCACCGAAGCAGAGTGCGAGACTTAACCACTTGGCCACAGGGCTGGCCCCACACGTCTTTTGTTAAATTTATTCCTAAGTATTTTATTCTTTTTGATGCTATTGTAAATGAAATTATTTTCTTAATTTATTTTTCAGGTTGTTCATTGTGAGTATAGCCACCAGTTTACTTTTAGTGTATTAATTCCACCAGAGACCTTCAGAAATAAGTACAACATAATTTAGGAGTGGCAAACCAGTTTTTCTATTAGTTTTGATGATTTTCTAATAAAAAATTTAGCTTTAAATTTATATTGACTTAGAGAAATTCTTAAACTATTTTCATAGGTTTATTTCTAATATTTGTGCCAAAGAGGAGATGTTATTTTTCAATACATTGCTATAAAATCTAGTACAAAGTTTTCCTTTTAACACATGTGTACAATTGGCCAGTTATTTCCCTGTCTTAATTTCCTTTTTTTTTTTTTTCCTTCCATTTTTGGCCCTGAGCTAACATCTGTTGGCAATCTTCCTCTTTTTTTCTCCCCAAAGCCCCAGTACATAGTTGTAATCCTAGTTGTAAGTCCTTCTAGTTCTGTGTGGGATGCTGCCACAGCATGGCTTGATGAGCAGTGTGTAAGTCTGCACTCAGCATCTGAACCAGTGAGCCATGGGTCACCGAAGCGGAGCATGTGAACTTGACCACTACGCCACTGGGCCAGCCCCTCCCTGTCTTAATTTTCTAACTCCCCAATTGTTCAGTATTTAGATTAAAGAGCTGGGAAACATATTGCCACTATAGAAAGAATGGCACACTGGAATCCCATGCACTTATCACTTATCTTTATCATTTGCCAACTCATGGCCCCCACCCCCTAGATTATTTTGCAGCAAATCCAGACATCATATCATTTCATCTATAAATTATAAGTGTACTGTTACAAGACAGATTTACTCTTTGTAATTATCTTATATTGGAACAAAACCTGCTTTGATTGGCTTTGCTTTCGAAGATGGTTAGTTTATTAGGATAGAGGAGTCAATAATTAAATTTTGTTTTTATTTGATACACAGGAGTCCAGATCTTACGTAAAATGGATGTTTCTCACACTACTGAATATTAAATAGAAAATCTATTTAGTAAAATCTAAGCTACCATGGAAGAAATACCAGTAAAAGTTGCTGTAAGAATTAGGCCTCTGCTGTGCAAAGAAGTTCTTCATAATCATCAAGTTTGTGTGAGAGTTATTCCAAACACTCAACAAATTATCATTGGGAGAGATAGAGTCTTTACTTTTGATTTTGTTTTTGGCAAAAATTCCACTCAAGATGAAGTTTATAATACCTGTATAAAGCCACTTGTGTTGTCACTCATTGAGGGCTATAATGCAACTGTTTTTGCCTATGGACAAACTGGATCTGGGAAGACATACACCATTGGAGGAGGCCATGTTGGTAAGATTCTCATACTCTTTGGCTTTATTTGATACATTAGAAAGAAGCTAAAATATGACTGTACCTGACACACAGGTGCTCAGCATTCTGATTGAATGAAATAATGAATAGGATAATCAGATGTATTCATAAAATCATCTTTGAAACATTTGCTTTCAAATGTTGAAGTTTTATCAATTTAATTTATGATTATATTTGCTTGAGGAGAGAAGTTTGAGTGTTTAGTGTTCAGCCCTTTGCCTTTTTTCCCCAGTTTTATTGAGATGTAATTGACAGATAACATTGTATTAGTCCAAGATGTACTACCTAATATTTGATATATATATTGCAAAATAATCACCACAGTAAGTTTAGTTAACCTCAGTCACCTTACATAGTTACAAAGTGTTTTTCTTGTGATGAGAACTTTTAAGATTTACTCTCTCAGCAACTTTCAAGTATATAGTGCAATACTAACTATAGTCACCATGCTGTACGTTACATCCCCAGAACTTATCTTATAACTGGACGTTTTTACCTGTTGACCACCGTCACCCATCTTCCCCATCCCCCACCCCCGCCTCTGGCAGCACTTTGAACAGAATTTAAAATAGAGGGAAATGAGTTAACACGATCAGATTTTGCATCTTTTAATAGTCCACTTATAAATCTTAGAGTCCTGCAACCAAGACTTAGAGGCAGGAGGAGAAATTTGTTATGTAGTTTAAAGTGTCTTTTAAAGAATTTTCTAACCAGATTTCTATATTTTTTTTAGCTTTATTGAGGTATAATTGACAAAATTGTAAGATATTTAAAGTATACCTTGTGATGATTTGATAGAAGTTTCCAATGTGAAAGGGTTCCTCCCATCTAGTTAACACATCCGTCACCTCACATATATATATATATATATATATACAGATTTCTATTTTAAATATTGAATATTTTGGGACATAATTTCTTCTGCTTTTGATTCTAGTTTGAAAAGTTAGAATCATAGGATTTCCTTTAGAGCTGAAAGGAACCTTGAAAATCATTTCTCTTCATCTGTAAGTGAGGAGCTCTAGCCATGGAGCTATGAAGGGCTTGTTCAGTTAGGTGACTAGTGACAGAGCTGGGATTGAAAGCCAAGTCCTCTGCTGAGATTGTTTACCATATTGGTATTTTTCTACTAAAAGCAAACTTTTGAATGTTGTGCATATGTATCATTGTCTAAAATTATCATTAGTGTTGTCTATATTTATAATGACTCAATATGTTTTCTACTTTCATGCTTTGCAAATATAGAATATATGACTTTCAGAAACATCTCTCATTACATGCAGAGATTCGAGGGGGAGGGTTGGAGGGTGGCACTGGGGTTTGAAGAAGCCCTCATTCCAAAGATTAAATAGAGAGGCCTCAAGTGCCCAGTATCCCTCCTTCCTCATTTTTTAGAATCGCTGTGGTTCAGGATTAGGAGATTAAAGATATTGGATTATTTTAGGGTCTCACAATTCAAAAAAATTCACTATTTTTGACTATAAGTTGTAGTTTTTCTTGAGGACTGTGGCTTTTTTTTGCTTGGCAAATGATTTATGATCTTTAAGACTCAGTATGTGCTTTATACTAATAGGAGTTATAAATGTTCAGAGCTTCGTAACTTAATTATAGCTATGGGTTTTTTTATTAAGAGTCCATGAATACAATTTCACTTCCTTAAAGGAAAAAGTTATTAAAGTTATTTATTGTCCTAAAATATTTTTTTTCTTTTTTGAGGAACGTTAGCCCTGAGCTAACATCTGCTGTCAATCCTCCTCTTTTTGCTGAGGAAGACTGGCCCTGAGCTAACATCCGTGCCCCTCTTCCTCTACTTTATATGTGGGACACCTACCACAGCATGGCTTGCCAAGCAGTGCCATGCCTGCATCCGGAATCTGAACCGGCACACCCTGGGCCACCAAAGTGGAACGTGTGCACTTAACCACTGTGCCACCAGGCCGGCCCCTGTCCTAAAATCTTTTAACTGCTCTAAAATACTTCGTACCAGAAGAAATACACCACCATTAGGAACAGTTTCTGGTGTTTTTTTTCCCCCTTGTTTAAAAAAAAATTAATGTTCATTGTAAGAAGAATTGCAGGTGATCCTTAAGAAATTAAATTAAACAAATGAAAGCTCCTCTCATCTCCCAAAAATAACAGTTTGATGTATACCATTCTGGAGTCCTCAAGACACTTTTCTAGGCATATTACAAATGCGTATGTAGTTTTCCTTTGTTTTTTGTTGTTTCATTTGTTTAATGATATATCTATGGTTTTTTAACTTTCTTTTTGCATTTAACAATATAAAACGTCATTTGATTTCTTCCCATTTGGGTCATAGAATTTCACCTCATTTTTTTGGCTGTATAATATTCCATAGTTTGAAAGGATCATAGTTCATCCATTCCAGTATTAATGAACATTTAGATTGTTTCTGGTTTTTACTATTATAAAAAAGTTGCAGTGTATATCTTTGTACATTTAACTTTGAATCCATGTGTTAGTATTTCTATAGAATAGATTACTAGAAGTGTGTTTGTTGAATCAAAGGGTATGTACGTTTAAAATGTGGATAGTTACTGACAAATTGCCTTCCAAAAAGGCTGTACCAGTTTATATTTCCACCCCAATATATGAAAGCCATTTGCTCATATCCTTACCACTTACTGGATATTATAAATCTGAAGTATATATATTTTTGCCATCTGATAGGTGAAAAATTGTACTTTGTTGTTTGAAGTTACATTTCTTGGTGTATTAGTGAAATTAGTGAGCATTTTCAATTTCCCAAGCTGTCTCTGTAGGACACCAATTCTGGGTCAGTCATCTGCTGTTTGATTACTGACTATGCAAACAGTGTTGGTTTTTTCCCCAGTAAATTATTTATTGAGCATTTACAATGTCTAGGGTATCATGCTAGGCACTGTGGCAGAAGGAAAATCTGTTATTTTTCAATATTATGCTTATTTGAACTAAAATTCATTTTCCTGCTTTTCAGAACCGTGGATTTACTGACTTTACCAGGCTTAATAGTCTCTAAAAACTTTTATTTGTGTACTATTTAAAGAGTAAATAGTTTATAATAGCTAAATGATGTCATTCTTTCTCTGAAGTAGTCTATTTCAGGAATATAAGTGTAACGTAGAAAATGTGATGTTTAGGTTACCAGGATACATATTGAAACTTTATTATAAATATTATTTGAAATTCAGCTTTTTGATAAGTCTTTTGAATTATTCTGTTTTGTTATCTATTGAAGTGGGAAATGAATGAGTTGTTTCTGAACAACCTTATATTTTGGCTATTCTAGAATGCGTATATGTATACTGTATATTTATAGATAGTACTATTGGCTAGTACCTTGAAGCTGTCAGAAAGGAGTCTTCACGTTCTCCCTGGTGTTGGAAAAACCTACAGCTTCTTTTTACCTGCCACACGATGGCAGTCTTACATCTTAAATTAGGTGAAAGGCAGCTCACATTAATAGAGGTTGAGATTTTCAGGATGTTTGTTGCCAAAAATCTAAACATTGGTAATCTTTAACTTGGAAGCAAGTTGTTTTTAAGGTTCATTTGTAAGCCTTTTTGTAGATTGGAATATATTTTCCATGAAACAAGACTGAAAATGTAAGCAGATTTCTAAATTGGCCTGCAGAAATTTATTTAAGTTCCAATTTTTTTTTCATTTTATTTATTTTTTTTGTGAAGAAGATTGGCACTGAGCTAATATCTGTTGCCAGTCTTCCTCTTTTGGCTTGAGGAAGATTGTCCCTGAGCTAATATCTCTGCCAGTCTTCCTCTACTTTGTATGTGGGGTGCTGCCCCAGTATGGCTTGATGAGCAGTGCATAGGTCTGTGCCCGGGACCTGAACCTGTGAACCCCAGGCCATCAAAACAGAGCATGTGAACTTAACCACTATGCCACCAGGCCAGCCCCCCTTAAGTCCCAATTTCTTTCAATTATTTTAAATTTTATCTTGCACTTTTTTTTTTTTTACTATTTTAAAAATTTTGGTTAAATAAGTAAAATTGGCCAGTTAAGCCTTTTTTTTTTTTTGAGGAAGATTAGCCCTGAGCTAACGGCTACCAATCCTCCTCTTTTTGCTGAGGAAGACTGGCCCTGAGCTAACATCCATGCCCATCTTCCTCTGCTTTATATGTGGATGCCTGCCACAGCATGGCTTACGAAGTGGTGCCATGTCTGCACCCGGGATCCAAACTGGTGAACCCCAGGCCACTGAAGTGGAACGTGCGCACTTAACTGCTGCACCACCGGGCCAGCCCCCATTTTAGCCATCTTTAAGAGTATAGTTCTGTGACATTAGGTACATTCACAGTGTTTTGCAACCATCACCGCTATTTCCAAAATTTTACATCACCCCAAATAGAAGCTTTGTACCCATTAAACAATAACTCCCCTCCCTCCATCCCCTGGTAACCTTTAATTTACTTTCTTTTACTGTGAATTTGCCTCTGCTAGGTATTTCATAGAAGTGAATCATACCTTATTTGTCCTCCTGTGTCTGGCTTCTTTCACTTAGCATAATGCTTCCAAGGGTATCCTCCATGTTGTAGCCTGTATCAGAACTTCCTTCCTTTTTATGACTAAATAATATTCCATTATACATATATGCCACATTTTGTTTATTCATTTGTCTATTGGTGGACACTTGAGTTGTTTCCCCCTTTTGGCTATTGTGTATAATGATGCTATGAACTTTGGTGTTCAAGTATTGGACTCCCTTGTGTGCATTTCTGTTCATTTGTAATGTTATTGTGCTGATCTGTGTTCTGGGCTGTGGAAGTGATAGAGGAGAAGCAGCAGTGATGGAGGAAAAGAGATACAGAGATGTTCTCTTCCTCATTCCTGGACTGAAGTCTAGGCAGGGAGCAGAACTGGCCTTTCTGCACACGTGTCTTCTGTTGCCTTTGGACTCTGGCTTGCTCCCCTGTTTGTTTCTTTTTTTTTTTTTTTTAAGATTTTATTTTTTTCCTTTTTCT